TAGTAGTAGTAGTAGTAGTAGTGGTAGTAGTAGTAGTAGTCGTAGTAGTAGTAGTAGTAGTGTAGTAGTAGTAGTAGGAGTAGTAGGCGTAGTAGCGTAGTAGTAGTTGTAGTAGTAGTAGTAGTAGGAGTAGTAGTAGTAATAGTAGTAGCAGTTATGTAGTAGTAGTAGTAGTTAGTAGCAGTTAGTGTAGTTAGTAGTAGTAGTAGTAGTCGTAGTAGTAGTCGTTTAGTCGTATAGTAGTAGTTAGTAGTTAGTAGTTTAGTTTAGTAGTGGTAGTCGTAGTCGTAGTAGTAGTAGTAGTAGTAGTAGTCGTTAGTTAGTTAGCGCAGTAGTAGTTAGTAGTATTAGTAGTAGAGTAGTAGTAGTAGTCGTAGTAGTAGTCGGTAGTAGTGAGTGGGTAGTGTGGTTAGTAGTAGATGGTAGGTAGTAGGTTAAGTAGTTAGAGAGGTAGGGTAGAGGAGTGGAATAGTAGTAGTAGTAGTAGTTAGTAGTCGTAGTAGTAGTAGTAGTAGTAGTCGTAGTAAGTAGTAGTAGTAGTAGTAGTTATCGTCGTAGTAGTTTAGTAGTCGTAAGTATCAGTGTAGTAGTATTAGTGTAGTAGTAAGTAGTAGTAGTAGTAGTAGTAGTCGTAGTAGTAGTAGTAGTAGTAGTTGTAGTAGTAGTTAGTAGTAGTAGTCGTGTAGTAGTAGTCGTAGTAGTAGTAGTAGTTAGTATAGAGTAGTAGTGTAGTAGTAGTAGTAGTCGTTGTGGTGCGTTGGTGGATTTTGGTGGTGGTGGTGGTTGGTGGTGGTGGGGTGGTGGTGGTGGTGGTGGTGGTGGTAGTAGTAGTAGTAGTAGTAGTAGTAGTAATAGTACTAGTAGTAATAGTAGGAGTAGTCGTCGTTGCGGTGGGCGTCGTGGCAGTAATAATAATAGTGGTAGCAGTAGTAGCAGTAGCAGTAGTAGCAGTAGTAGTAGTAGTAGTAGTAGTAGTAGTAGCAGTAGTCGTCGTAGTAGTAGTAGTAGTAGTAGTAGTAGTAGTAGTAGTAGCAGCAGCAGTAGTAGGAATAGTAGTCGTAGTAGTAGTAGTAGTAGTAGTAGTAGTAGTAGTAGTAGTAGTCGTAGTAGTAGTGGTAGTCGTAGTAGGAGTAGTAGTAGTAGTAGTAGTAGTAGTAGTAGTAGTCGTAGTAGTAGGCGTATTATTAGTAGTAGTAGTCGTCGTCGTAGCTGTAGTATTAGTAGTAGTAGGCGAAGTAGAAGCTGTACTAGTAGTAGCAGTAGAAGTAGTAGTAGTCGTAGTCGTAGTAGTAGTAGTAGTAGTAGTAGTAGTAGTAGTAGTCGTAGTAGTAGTAGTAGTAGTATTAGTAGTAGTAGTAGTAGTAGTAGTAGTAGTAGTAGTAGTAGTAGTAGTCGTAGTGGTAGTAGTAGTAGTAGTAGTAGTAATAATAGTAGTAGTAGTGGTAGTAGTAGTAGTAGTAGTAGTCGTAGTAGTAGTAGTAGTAATAGTCGTAGTGGTAGTGGTAGTGGTAGTAGCAATAGTAGTTGTAGTAACATCAGTAGCAGTAGTAATAGTAGTATTAGTAGCAGGCGTAGTAGTAGTAGTCGTAGTAGTAGTCGTAGTAGTAGTAGTAGTAGTAGTAGTAGTAGTAGTGGTATTAGTAGTAGTAGTATTTGTAGTAGTAGTAGTAGTACCAGTCGTAGTAGTAGTCGTAGTAGTAGTAGTAGTAGTAGTAGTAGTAGTAGTAGTAGTAGTCGCAGTCGCAGTCGTAGTGGTAGAGGTACTAAGAGTCATTGGAGTCGTCGGAGTAGTAGTGGGAGTAGTAGTGGTAGTAGTAGTATTAGTAGTAGTAGATTAGTAGTATTAGTAGTAGAGTAGTAGTAGTAGTAGTCGTGAGTGGTAGTAGAGTAGAGTTAGTAGTAGTGTAGTAGTAGGAGTAGTGTAGTAGTAGTAGCAGGCAGTAGTAGAGTAGTAGTAGTAGTAGTAGTAAGAGTAGTATAGTAGTAGTAGTAGTAGTAGTAGTAGTAGTAGTAGTAGTTAGTAGTAGTAATAGTAGTAGTAGTGTAGTAGTTAGTAGAACAGTAGTAGTTAAGTAGTAGTAATAGTAGTGCAAAGTTCGTAGTAGTAGTAGGAGAGTAGTAGTAGTAGTTAATTAGTAGCAGTAGTAGTAGTAGTAGTAGTAGGTTAGTAGTAGAGTTGTAGATAGTAGTAGTAGTAGTAAGTAGTAGTAGTAGTAGTAGTACCAGTAGTAGTAATCGCAGTGTTAGTGTCAGAAGTAGTAGTAGTAGTGGTTTCAGGCTTGCTTCTCGTATTCGTCAGTAGTAGTAGTAGTAGTAGTAGTAGTAGTAGTAGTAGTAGTAGTCGTAATTTTAATAGTCGTAGTAGTAGTAGTCGTCATAATAGTGGTACTAGTCGTAGTAGTAGTAGCAGTAGTCATAATAGTGGTGGTAGTAGTAGTAGTAGTAGCAGTAGTAGTAGTAGTAGTAGTCGTAGTAGTAGTAGTTGTAGTAGCAGTAGTGA